GCCCTGTCTTGAAGCTGAGAGTCTAAACTCTACAGCCTTGGCTCTCATATTTCTTCCTTTTAGCCTGGCTAACTCTTAAGACCCAGATCCTTTCCGTCTCAGCTTATATAACCTCCACCAGGAAGACTTCAGTGACCAGTAAGGCCAGGATAGGTGATGCTTCTTTGTGTCCTCACAGGGCCCTGTGCCACACCACCCCCATCAGCTACTAGTTTCTTCAGTGTCCACGCTCATTTACTGTCAGCCCCATGTCACCCTGGGAGCTCTGGAAGGGCAGGAGCTTTACAATACTCCCCTCTAGATCTCCAGCACCTCGCATAGTACCTGACACACAGGTAGTGCTTAATAGATACCTGGGAAATGGCTAGATGCCGGGCAAAAAGCTGTATGTGAGAGAAGGATGGGGAGGGGAGGAGAGGAGTTACTGACATTCTCAGTAGAGACAGCATGAGCCTATGGAGGGAGAAATAACTAAGTATTGTGTGAGGGAATGACAAATATTTTGGAGTTGCTGGACCATACCCTGCAAAGGAGAGAGTGGCAGGAAATAAAATTGGAAAACTAAGGAGAGACCCAGCTTCAGTATCATGGTAAATGAAGTCAAGTGCCCTCCACTGATCTCTGTTTTCCTGTGGTGGGGTCTTAAGGATTGCTCACTGAAGCTGACATCTGTCTAATGTGAACATGGTACAGACCATTCTCCCTACCAAGTAATGCAACAGAGATGCAGCATGTACAGCAGCTGAAACTAATATGGTGACCCTAAATGCAGCCCACTTGAATCTTTGGAGGACACTTCTCCAGAAAGAGTTACCCACACCAGAGGAGATCTACAACAGAGCCCAGGAATCAGGTACAACATAAAATCACAGGTACCTAACTAGTACCTAATTTGTGTCAAGTTCCAGAATGTCTGAAAAGACACTGCTTGGCCACTGGGCATTTTCAGCACCAAGCTTGTTGGTGGGCTGATACCATGGTGGTGGATAAGAGGCCACTGGTGGGTTAATATCTGCACACCCTGACCTGACCCAATTTTAAGGCTACCTGCATCAGAGATAATCCCGAGAGGAACCAGGGAGATCAGCCAGCTTGGTGCCCTGAGATGGGGTGTGGATAAAGGATCAGAGGACCCAACTTCTGTTTCTGGCTCTGTTTTCAATGAGTTCCATTTTCACTTACAAGTCATACACCTCTGGTTTTGAGATCGTGGATGCAGATGAGATCTCAGACGCAGAACTCCAAAACAGTCAACAATTTTAGCATTTTATTACTCACAAAAATCAATACTGAACCTGATCAGGCAATCCCTATGAGTCCAGCTAAATACAAGGGCAGGAGAGGGTACAAGGAAGTAAAACTTTGTATTTCTGCCCTCAAGGTTCTTTCTACTTTGACAGTAAAGACAAAATCAACAGACACCTAATAGAGAACAATTAAGCTTGGACTCCTAAGGCAATCTGAGTTCAGGTAAGAGAGGAATCAATTGAGAGATGGAAGTATGACGGAAGTTCCAAGCTGAGTGGTAAGAATGATTTTACCCTTTTCTCTTTTCCTCTTCTTTCTTATTTCCAATTCCCACAGTCACACACACACACACACAAATAATAAGTACAACTGTCTATACTGATTAATAAAAAAAAAATCTCTCAGTACACTAAAAAGAGAACTACCTTAAATTTGACAAAAGTTATTTATGAAAGGTCTACAGCCACTATCATATTTTTTTGTTTCAGTTGAAGGTAGTTTCTGTTCTCACACTTTAATCCTTCATGCTACTGGGAGTTCTAACAATATGATGCAGCATGAAAAGCTAATAAAAAGCACTAAGTTTGGAAAAAAAGAAGTGCAAGTATCCTTATTGCAGGAAACATGATTGTCTCTACAGAAAGAGCTAAGGAAACTGCAAAGGAAGTAACAGAACTAATGAGTTGCAGAATACAAGGTCAGTGTGCAAAAACTGTGGTTTTATAGACTAGCAGCAAACTTTTAGAAAACAAAATAAAAATATTCATAGTAGCTTAAACGAGGAACTTACGTAAAATACTTGGATATAAATTTAACAAAATGTTTGATACATATCCATTCACTGTAAAGTACTAAACATTGCAAAGAGAAGTTAAGTAGACCTAAATAAAAACAAGATACACCATGTTCAAGGATTGGGAGATACCACAGAAAATTATCTTCCAATTATTTAAAGTTCTAGAATAGGTACAATTAATGTAGAGTTGAAAATGTTCAGAACACTCTGAAAAGGTAGGAGTGTTTGGGAAATGACATGAAGAAATTTTTTGAAGTTATGGAAATATTCTATGTACTATTATGAACAGAAGTGCGAATCATATGTATGCATTTGTCAAAACTCATGAAACTTTGTATCTAAGATTTTTGTTCACTGAACATAAATTTTATCTAAGTAAATAATGTAAATCATATTGAACTGTAGTTACTAGGTTTGCGTGGTGCTGTGGTATGGGATACCAACGCTGAAATGACTTTTTGTGTTTTCCAAGCTTTAGCCAATGAGTAATTGTGTTGAGAAAATGGAAGCCAGGGTTCTCGCTATTATGTACTGAGAGTATTCTTGTGTGTGTGTTTAAATATATGTATATTCCCTAGATATTTTATTGAGATGGTCTAAAGGCATGGTCTATCAGTTGCAATGAGTACAACGTCATTATTCACAGTATAGTACATCATTACTCATCAGCCCAGATCTTGATTTCTAAATATCATTTTCTATTAAAAGGAGCCAAGATTCTTTAGGGAAATGGATAGATCCAGGACTGAGGCAGGGAAATTATGAATTGACCTTGAAACATGTTATTTTGTCAGAAAATATGGAATTATTCAAAGAATGATGAGAACATTATAAAGGGACATCAGAGACAAGTTATAGCAACTTCATTGGCCAAATCTGTGGCAATTTATGTCCCAAAATAAATAATCATAATATTAAAAATGTATTTTTAACCATTGAATGAAATATAAACCTATGAGTTATACCAGTATAAAATGTGAATAAATAAATGGGAGAAAAGGAAAAACTGTCTGTTAGCAGAATTTCAACAAAAAGAGACATAAAAGTAGAAGGTTAGTGTTTGATGGGTAATAAGATATTTACATGGTCTCAAGTTATTTCCCCACAAAATACCCATTAGCAATTGAAAATGGCATATTTATATTGGATAAGCCTGGTAGGCATTGCCTAAATCAAGTGATAATGTTAACATGACCAACATCAGGACCAACTGTCATTATGCAAATCCTGTGGGGGATATAATGTCACTCTTCTGCTATCTTGACAAAAATGCCTAACTTAAATGTAACCATGAAAACATATGATAAATCCAAATTGAGAGTATTCTACCAAATAATCGTTCACTCTCTTGAGAACTCTCAAGGTCAAGAAAGGTGAAAAAGGACTGAGAAATGATTCCAGAGTAAAGATGATTACCCAAGAAATGTGACACATAAATGAAATGGGTGATTCTGGGTTGGATCCTGGACTAGGGGGACCAAGACTTACATACTACTATTGGGGCAATTGATAAGATTTAAAAATGGATTAGAAAACATATTATGGCAATATTAAATCTCTTAGTTTTGGGTAACTGTATCTGATGATATGAGAGAGTGTCTTTGTGCTTAAGGAACACACACTGATCTTGTCCTTAGGAAATAGGCACATTGAGAAATCAATGAGGAAAATGTGTCCAACCTCTTGTCAGATGGTTCATCCATACACAAAATGATAAATCAAATGAACGAAATGTGAACAAATGTTGAACCTGGGTTAAATGTATCCAAGATTTCCTTGTAGTATTCTTGCCATTTTCTTTAAGTTTGAAATCATTCAAAAATAAAATCACCAAAAATGTGGCAGGATGTCTAAAACAAAAGTCAGGATAATGATTAGGTCTTGAGGGAAAAGGAAAGTAGGGAGATGCTAAGGGCCAAGTGTATAGAGGGCCACAGGGACATTTTTTCACATGTTCAGAATATTCTGTTTCTGAATCAGAGTATTGGGTAATCGTTGTATATTGTATTATTTTTGAAACTCCTAATGTATGCTTTATACCTGTTTCTATAAGTAGGATTCCTTAAATAATAGAAAATGTGACACCAAGAGTATAAAGAAACATCCAAAATACGACTACTTATTTATGTTAAAGTCAGGGCTGAAAGCTAAGTCTTTGGATTCCCATCAAGTCCATTTCTCCACCAGTGACAATGTTGTGAACCATAATGAGGTTGATATGCTTTTGGCCAGAGAATTCCTAACCCCTGACCTCAATCAGCCATCCCTGCCTACAGGGTCCTAAAGGGAAATGTATGCATAGAAAAAAACGTCCTATTGACTGACGAAGCAAAACTTCAGGGCTGACCAAGTCCTTGATCCCTAAACCCAATGCAATCCCTGGTGAGTAAACTGGACCAGGAAGAGAAGTTCTCTTTTCCAGGCTGCAGATGGCCAGACCCTAGAAGCATAGCAAGATGAATGGCCCTTTTCACCCCATTCTCCCTATGTCCAAGTCCTGAATTGTGTGTGACCCTGATAGCAACAGTAGTTTTAAATACGGCAGGCCAGCTCCCAAGCAGAGCAAGAAGTCGGTGTATGCTTGTTCATATCCTGCTACAATCCATTTCTTCGTAAAAGCTGCCCAATCAGAATCCTTGCCCTCAATCAAGAAAAAATGATACTTTTGGCATCCAACCGTCTCTGGAAATCAAATGTATTAAGACATTTAGTAAAAGAAAGGAAAACCTGAAAAAAAAAAAGATACTTTTGAGAATGGGGTTGAAAGTGAGTTGTGAACTCATTCTGGTCAATCGATACCACTGTCTGTTCCTATTTATAGGCAATCTTTAGGCCAACGAGATCACAAAGGCAGGTAGGTAATGAAGACCCACCTGTGCTGTAAATATAGACAACTTAAGGAATTCAAGCCTTGGTAACTTGTGAACAAGTCCAATTACAGCATTTCTTTATCTGCTTTCTTATTATGTGACTATAGAAAGATATCAAAAATGCATTTAAATTTTCCTATAGAGAGGAAATATGTAGATCATAATGAAGGTAAGAATATGCTTATAACCATATGCTTTTTTTCACCAAAGAAAATGTGCCCATATACAAAATGTTCCATTTTGAAGCTTCAGACACCATGTGGTGGTGGTGAGTTGAAATGTCCATGGTGGGTTCTTTAGGGTTTTCTTCCCCTCATATTGTACGTTTATATTGTTCAGCCTAAAGGTTTTTATATTACCATCTCTTCCCTCACCTCCTTCCTAGCCCCCAACCTTGCTCTTTTGTATGAAGGTGGGGCCTGAAAACACATTCCAAACAATGTCATATTCCATATACTTAGAGACAAAGGAAATGGTTGCCTAGCAACAAGGCCCTGTTAGAAATTTTGAGCACTCTTTTACTTTCCATTTTAGGGCAATGCTCAGGAAGCTGTTTGCAAAGAGATCCAAGACTAGGATCTCTTTGTCTAAGAACTCAGTCCAAGATGGAGGGAGAAGAGGAGAAGAGATGGGGGAGAAGGTGGAGGAAAAGCATCAAGGTCTTTCCATGACAGTCTAAGTGATATCTTCAGTGGCAATGGGAATGGACAGTCTAGTCCCTAGGTGGGATGGAGCACTTCCCTTTTCCATTCCCCTTCTGGTTCCCCCAGTGCTTCCCACACTTAACCAGGATTCTAGTAGATTAGCTGAGCTGATATGGAAAAGCTCTAAGGGATACCAACCCTAGCTCTGTCAGCCATCCAAGCTCTCTTGTCATGAGGGTTTTAGGCACAACTTGAAAGAGGCAGCAACTTAAGGTTCATTTTGGCTGTTATTAGTCTTCCTTAAAATAGCTACCAGTTCTCTGTAGGATGAATACTGTTGCATTCTTTTTTAATACTGCTGCATTTTAATTGATTTTCTATTGGGGACATTTTCCAACATTATTAAATATTTCATGATGATAAGGTTGTTCAGAAACATATGCTGTAGGAATCACATGACTCACCTATCCAGTCATAATTGTACACTTAGCGTATTCAGAGCAATTTGCTTCCATTGTTGCTGTTTTCAGGAATTTACTATTCTGAAACTTGTTATATCTCAGAAATTTCTGTAAAATCAGTGGCTAAGAGAATTTAGAAATACCTTAAATTTTTAAAAATTGGACATTTTAATATATTCTTGAGATTTATAAGCTGATTGCTTCTAGAAAACTTGTACTAATTTATCAGCAAATATTTTCTGATTTGACAGGCACTAACATGTTGATAGTTTTTTTAGCTATTAGTTGGTTACTAGTTAGGTTAAATACATTTTGTTTAAAAGCCATTTCTAAGCCTGTCTGAAGTTTCAGATCATGTGATTGCCCATTATTTCCTGTTTGAGTGTTGTCTTTATTATTTCATGAAAACTTTTTATATTCCCCACACATGAGTAAGTGTCCTTTATACAATGATGACTGACGTAAAGAGGATGGGGTAAGAAGAAGGGACTAAAGTAAAAGACATATATTTATGGTCTTATCTGTTGAAAATATTTCTCCTAATTTGTTATTTGCCTTTTACTTAATGGGAGGTTTAAGGTTTTTTTACTTTATGGGTTTTTTAATGATTTTTACTTTAGATCTATAGTTTATAGCATCCCGGAGAGCACAGTAATGAACACAGTTTCTAGTATTTGCATCCCTAGGTTTGAATCCTGGCTCTGCCATCTCCATGCTGTGTTACCTTGGTCAAAATACTTCAACAGCTCTCTGCCTTACCTTTCTCCTCTATAAAATGGGCATGTTAATTGCACCTAACTTGTGGTGGGTGATGAATTTTCAGGAAACAATATGTAAATAAAACACAGAGAATGAAGTCTAGAACATACTAAGTATTTAATAAGTTAGTCAAAATCTTGTAAAAAATATCCTAATGTATTCCTTTGTGATTTCTCCCATAGCTCAGAAAATGTACATCCATAGAAAAGTGATAAAGAATTCATTTATATTCTGTTTTATTTCATTATTAATTTACTCATTTTTTATGTTTAGCTCACGAGAATTTATTTTGGTATATGGTAAGAGGTAAGGTAACTTGATTTCCCCCCCAAAATGTTCAATGTTGCCTTTTGTCATTTAATCAACCCTTTCTCACTGGTTTGTGTGATTTCCTTATCACTTACCAAGTTTTAATATACACTTGGGTCTGTTTTTCATTATTTGTTATAATCTATTGCTCTGTCCTTTGATTTCTATTATAGTGCCATGTTGAAAAAATCAATGCAAGTTTTATTATTTACTGGTCAGTTCTGTTTGCATTGTTTTCAAAACTCTTTTAGCTATTTTAGGCTGTAAGTAGTCCAGGTGATTATCTGAATCATTATAATAAGTAAAAAATATTCCTGGGATTTTGAACAGGATTACAATGATCTATAAATTGATTTAGGGGGAACTGACACTTTTGAACTATTTAGTTTCTTCATTTACAAAATGTTTTGGATCTCTCAATAGATTTTTTTTTAGCATTTTCACAAAGCTTTCCATACATTTCTTAATATTTTTAGCAGTTAACTTTTTTCCCCCTAATTGTAGAAAGGACTTTATCCCCTGGTATAACTAGATGTAGAAAGAGACAAGTTATAGTCCTAGTTCTCAACTCAACCTCACTTTTTTTACTCACATTATCTCTGTGTATTCTTTTCCTAAGATTGTTTGAATTCTGAAATGGGGACTACACCTCTAAAGTTTTTTTTTTTTTTTTTAAGTAAACAAATTTTGATTGCATCCCAGCGACATGTAATGTTTACCTGCAGAGACAGAAGTAGTTCCTGGTACAGAGTGGACATAGAGAACTGATTTAATTCCAGCTATGATAAGGATGAGGGAGAATGGCTGGGGCCCAAGATGAGGGTCTAGCCTGGGGCCACAGCAAGCAATCTGTAGGAGACGATATTTGAGCTGAGCTCTGACAGATGTAGGAATTAACCAGGCAACCCATGGGAGCACCTGACAGAGGGGTGAGCCCGAATGTAAGATGTTCAAGGAAATCAAGATAAGATCTCTGTGGCTGTGAAGCAGAAATGGGGAGTGAGGTGGGACGTGACATTAGGTAAGTCAGAGGAAGCGTTTTCACCTTAAGAGGAAAACAAAAGTGACTTTGAAAAAAAACTAAAAACAGACCAACTATTCAAGTATCTAATATTACTATCTATCTCTATCTCTATATCTATATCCCGCCTCCCCCTTGGAAACCAGGATTGTTCCCATGGATATACTATCATAGTCCTTGAGAAGATAGCATTGTAACAGTTAATGTATTTTAGAAAGAACATTTCCTCATAGAGGAAGTTAAGTCTAGCTTCTTCTTTAGATTTCTTGACAGAGTTTGCAGCCCTAGTCAAAGACTAACTAGGGCAGTCTGCTGTAGGATGCAAAACCCCTGAAAGCCTACAGTTCTCGTTAGTGTTGTCTTGAGCAAACCTCAGCGTGTTTTGTAAAAGTTGTTGTCTGTGGAACAATCACATAGTCCCTTTTGTGAAATCTAAGAATGATGAGTGCCAGAGTGATTGATGAAATATTAAATCTCCAGCACAATCTAAAATACAGCCTACCCTATGACCCAGCAATTGTACTACTAGGTATTTACCCCAAAGATACAGATGTAGTGAAAAGAAGGAGCACATGTACCCCAATGTTCATAGCAGCAGTGTCCACAATAGCCAAACTGTGGAAAGAGCCAAGATGCCCTTCAACAGACGAATGGATAAAGAAGATGTGGTCCATATATGCAATGGGATATTACTCAGCCATCAGAAAGGATGAACAGCCAAGTTTTGCATCAGCATGGATGGGACTGGAGAGGATTATGCTCAGTGAAGTAAGTCAGGCAGAGAAAGACACTTATCATATGGTTTCACTCATAAGTGGAACATAAGCAATAGCACAGAGGACTATGGGGAAGGGAGTGAAATCCAAAGGGGGAGAAATCAGAGAGGGAGACAAACCCTGAGAGACTATGGAACCCGGGAAACAAACTGAGGGTTTCAGAGGGGAGGGGGGTAGGAGATGGGAGAGCCCTGTGACAGGTATTAAGGATGAGCACTGGGTGTTATGTGCAGCTAATGATTCATTGAACACTACATCAAAACTAATGTACTATACAATAGCTAACTGAATGTATTAATTTTTAAAAAAGACAGCCTATCCTCTAATTGAGGCAAGGGTCTTAGGGTAGTATTCCTCAATGTTGGCAACTAACATTTTGGGCCAAATAGTTCTGTATCATGGGTCTGTCCTGTGACTTGTAGTGTGTTTAGCTGCACCAACCCTGGCCCCTCTTCACTAGACACTAGTAGCATTCCCCTCCAGTTTTGTCAACAAAAAGTGACAAGCAAAATCTCCCAGGCTGAGAAACCCTGCGTTATGGAGATTGGACAATTCCGGTCATTCCTGGGTGGAGCTATTATACTCACTTTTGTTTGGCCACAAATTCACTCATACATTGTAACATTTAACAAATGAGATTCAGAATTATCACTAATTGCTAACTCTCCTCCAGTCTGCAAAGCATTGTCCTCCACATCTTTTACTCATCTGCTGCAGCAAACACCCATTAAACATCTGCTTTGCGTAGGCACCAGGCCGGTCGCTAGAGCCACAAGTTCAAGTGGGACAGCTTTACAAGGGGCCTAGAGTTTGGGGGGAGATGAAGCAGGAGAGAGTCTATGACAGGCACCATTTAGAAATGTGGCCGATGTCTCCTGAGATGTGTGCAGAAGGTGTAGGATCCCAGGTCAGTGTGGAGCCCCCGGGAGCTTGAAGTGGAAACGAGGCTCTGTGCTGCTGCTGAGACTTGGTATTTTTCAGGCTGATGGATTTAGGGAGTGGGTGGGGAGCTGTGAGAGATTCTGGAGTATTTCTGAACATGTATTATGATCATCTCTCTTTTAAGGATAAAGAAACTGCAAGGTTAAACATTCAGCTCAGGGTCACTTAGTTAGATAGCAACAAAATTAACCTGTCAATGGAACTATTTTCTGGATAAACACTGTTGCCTTTTCCAATAGAATGCAAAGTTCTAAGAG